TGTCTATTTTTTCAAATATAAACTTGAGAAAATGTCTATGTACACACAAGTGTACGTCGCTGACTGACTATTTATATAGCTAGGTTTAACCATTTTACTAGTACATATAAGACCATACTTTTATCTTATATGTATTTCTCTTTTCGGTAATTTTATCTAATTCTGTCGTGCACGTGGTATTCAAAAATAAAATTCGTACTATAATCGAGCCGATTCTTGATTTTGTCGTGGTCCATCTTTTATCTTGTGAAAATGGAATGTTTATTTAAATAAACTTTTTAGAATTTTTAAATGAAAACTATTTTTATGAGAAATATTAAATTAAATTTATTTTATTTGTAAAAGATAAAATAAAATATTTTTAACGATTAAATATCGTAATAATCATGACTATTTAATAAAAATAAACTTAATTGTTTAAATTGTAAAATGATAAGAAACTATCTTTTGATTTATTAAACCATCGAAAATATGTTAAAGAATTTCGATAAAAAAATCTATTCTATCATAAATAATTTTTATTTCATATTCAATTCGGTCTATTGAAAGTAAGGAAAAATCTTTATTATTTATTTTACTTTGATTCAGTTATATATGTATATGTGTGAAAATTCTTTCTTATAATGAATCGTCTATATTCGACGTATATTTATTTTTTTAATTAAAACTATATAAATAAAACGGTGTCGATTGCTTTTCTTAAGTGTATCATTACTTAAGCTGGATATTGATGATTACATTTATTCAATGAATTAATTGAATAACTTTTAAATATTAAATAATGTTCATAATTAATATTAATATATTTACTAATATGAAATGTATAATTTATTTCTGATGTCATTCGAATATTAATAATGGTGAATGTTGCAGATGATCAGTTTGCACAATTGTGAATGTTTATCTGAAATATTATGTTAAAAGTAGATTACAATGTTTCGAATAAAACTCAATAATTTTTCCACTATGATCATTTTATCTATGATTCTCTTATTTTGCTTTTATTGTTCAACATATTTTATGAATCTCTTTTCAAACATAAAACTCTCGAATGATATGAATATTTTTTATTCTATTTTTGAGAATAAAAAGAGTTTCCTGAAGCTACATGATTCTTAATAAAGTAATTTGAAAAGATTTAAAAAATACATTTTAAAATTTATTTCATAATGCAACTCAATTATTTGGTTCAGTGTCTAATAGACACTGTCTATCAACTTCAAGTAATTATAATCTAATAATAAATAATTTTTATCACTCATTAAAATATTTCAACAAAATCTTTTTATTCAATGATCAAAACAGAGAAGATCTTGACTTTTACTTTTATTTCTCGATTTTTTATTTGATAAAAAAATTTTTTCTTTTTTCAAAATCTAAATTTCATTTACAATATTATTTCAAATTTTCCAATTCGATTATTCAGACCATCAGCAACATAAAGACTTCCTTCATCATCAAAAGATAAACCACTGGGATGATTCAATTGATTTGATTGTTTTCCTTGACCATTTCCACCAACAACAATTTCACCTTCTTCTTTTCCTTCACACCAACGTATTATTCGATGATTCCAATACTCTGCCACATAAATTTGACCCAATTTACCAACAATGACCCCTTGAGGTGAAGACAATTGATTAAGATTCCCTCCTTTACCATTTCCTCCAGCAACAATTTGTCCTTCTTTTGCCCCTTTTTTCCACTTCATTACACGATGATTGTTTTGATCTGATACATAAATACATTGATCTTCATCAACAAAGATAAAAGTAGGAGAATCAAGTTGATTGAGTTTATGTCCTTCTCCATTTCCACCTGCTACTACAATTCCTTCATTGTTAAATTCTCCCATTTTCCATCGTCTCACTTCATCCTTCTTCCAATTAGAAACATAAAGGAATCCATGCTTATCCATTGCTAAGCCATGACAGTGAATATTGTCAATGAGAATTTGTTGATTTTGATTCACCCATTGAATCACTCGTCTGTTTCCCAAATCAGCAATGATGATCGAATGATTTTCTTGATCAATGATTACATCTGTAGGATGATGCAATAGAGAAATTTGATCTCCTTTGCCATCTCCACCTGCAATGACTAGCCCTTCTTTTGCATTACATTTCCATTCAATAATACGATGATTTTCATAATCAGCAATTAAAATATTTTTGTTTTGATCAATAAAGATTCCGTGAGGCGAATGGAGTTGATTTAATCCTGGTCCTTCTTCATTTCCACCAGCTATTGTGATGGCATTTTGATTCCATTTATTGAATATTGATTCTAGAAAAAAAAAATGAAAACAAAAGATTTGGATGAAAAGAAAAAGAAGAAAATTCTGTTTTTTATCGGAGAAACAAGGAAAGATTAATTTCGATTGAAGTTTTGATTTTGTTTTTACTATTCTATTTATTATAAAACGATGACAATCTGTTTGATTTTATGATTTATTTCGATTTAGAATTTTAATATGAATATTTAGAAAAATATTTCTTCTCAAATATATTTCAAATAAAATAAAATCTTTCTTAAATAATTATTTCATATCTTATCATTATTTTTCTTTACATGCAAATAAATTTAATTTTCTATTTCTATTAATACTATTTTTATTCATT